TGACAAGCTTTTATTCAATGCAAGGGAATTAATTTTCAGTGGTGCAACTGTAACCCACACATCTTCTGGGTGTGGTGTTCTGTCCCATCTAGCGGCACGGGGGTGGGGGGCGAGAGAGAGATTATGAGTCTGCTCTACAGCTTTAACTAACAGTCAGTTGGTTTTCAGCTCATGCTGTAGAGGCTCATGCACTAAACTCCAGAGGTCCCTGGTTTGATGCTGCCAACCGGGTCCATCAGTGTTACACAACGATAACAAAATATTGATGCGAACAAGTGAGCCATTACTTTGCTTAAAAGTACACACTGACACACTGGTACCTTCCTCCCTGCCCCCCAAGCTAGAAACCTCAGGCTTAATGTATAACAGGTGCATTGGGATCCTTGGAGCTAGAGAGAAGCTGGGGGTTAGTAACCAACTTGAAAATATTTATCAGTGCTGGAGGGTAGTTTGACAGACCTTGACTAAAACAGAACAGTCTCAATAAGACCTATCATACCAGCACGTATGAGAGACTGACGCTGTGATCTGAGCAGCAGAACCTGCTCTGCGCATATTCATTTGGCTCATGTTGATGTCTTTATAGCCTTTTCTTGTTGGAATCCTTTTTTGTGCCCCTACTGCTAATTGCCAGAGTATGATTACATTTCTCTAAAGCACACCAATAAGAATACCAGGAGATTTTCTAACCATAATTCCTACTCATAATATTTACCTCCACCAAAAATAAATCCAGTATTAACATGCAAAACCCCTTGAACTGTCTAATCTGTTTAAGGCACCTATACTGTGCTCATGACCATGCAGAGTGAGGGTCTTATCAACATTTGGTAAATATCTTTTGGCAGCACTGCTACAATTGTGGTTTAACTTGGTTAAAACTGTGGCCTCCCGGAGAGCAAACCCACTGAGTGCCTGATCCTGCCAGCATAACTCAGGCACAGCTCCCCTTGGAGCCATAGGGAGATTGCCAGAGCTGACTTGTTTCTCAGGATTTTCTTTATGCTGCTGTGGCATCCAAAACCGTGGCACAGGGGGGAGCTGTGCTGTTACGACTGCCCTGTAGACACAACCAGGCTTCTGCTCTTCCGGGATCGCATGAGGTTGTTGATCTGGATTTTGAGGTTACTATAGTCTTTGCCTGCCAGCTCTGGCTTCTGCTTCTTTGCTGCTTTGAACGCTGCATTCACCAGATTGGGTGACAGGGCGGCTTTCTGGTGCGTGCCGGACACATTGGCCTTTCCCCGCCACTGCTGGTAATAATCCTGCAGCATTGTGTCTCTGAACACTGCCAGGGCATACTTGGCAATGTCCCCCTTGGCCTCCTCAAACAGTCTCCTGTCCTCCTTGGGGGAGATGTGCAGGAGGGAGCTGTCAGGTATGCTGGCTGCTGTAGCAGGGTTATGGGGCAGGGATTGCTTGTCGGAGGCAGATGGAGCCTCTCCTGATTTCACATCCCCAGGGTGTATAGCTGACAAGCCTCAGTCCCCTCACAGTCCACTGGCCGTGTGTCATTGACCTCTGCCACTTTGGGAATTAGGACCACACCTGTGGTGTGTACAGCCTCATCTGGGGTTGGGGCTTGCTTGAGGCCTGCCAGTCTGGATTCCATGATGGACATTTTCTCTGTCAACTCCTCAGCATGCTCCTCTAGCCTCTGGTTCTCCTCTCTTGTTGCAGCACCTGGCATGGCATCCAGATGGCAGCATCCCTAGAAAGCAGTGAGGGTTTAAGGTGACACCTGTTGGTAAGGGTTTCCCCCAGCATTGGTGTTATTCTGCAGATTCTTTCGGTTGGCTCTAGGTTCAGCTGAGAGGCTTTGCCCTTGCACCTGAAACATGAATTAAAAAAAAAAAAGAAGCAGCTTAGTGTGCAGTCTGCATGCAACACAACAGGCCTATCACTGTGCATTGTGTGTGTAGGTTTCTAAAATGGGAATACACAACACCTGTTCATCCAGCCCTGTATCCTGGAAGTGCTTACATCCATGTTTCACTTGATGCATGTGACTTGTCCTGTTGTAAGTACCTGCAGGATTGTGCCCCGAGTTGATAAAGGGCAGCCTCCCATTGCATTACTTGGTTGGAACAGGGTCCCCATAGAGAAGCCAGTGCTATCTTAGCGTGTGATTTCAACCCCAGCATCACTGCCTGAAGCTCATGCCCTGGTGCTCTGGGTGCACGTGTACAACCTCCACTTGACCTGCACCAGCCAACACTCGAGTTTCTAACACAGGGTGTCAGGTGTGGTGGGTGCAGCTGAACACTGAAAAATCCTGCAGAGAAACAATTACAGCAAAGGCCTTGGAATCAGGAAATGACAGTACCTTGCTATTCCATGAGGCACCCTGAGGCCGGAACAGGAGGGGTATCAAGATTTTTTTTTTTAGTCCCTAACAGAGCACCCAGCACAAAACCAGCTGTTCCATCCCTGGTATGGATATTATCAAAGAAGAATAATGACAAGGCTTTCCCAGAGACCAGAGCAGTGGGGATGGGGAAGTCACAGACAGAGGGAAATATGGCTATATGGGATAGAACAGTCCACCATTAACATTTAATGTCGAGCTTTATTCCCATGAAAGAACCTTTCAAATGAATGAAACTTGAAAACCCCAGTGCCTGGATATTGCCTCCAACACAAAGAGCAGTGCAAGAGGTATCAATGGGGCCACCTCAGCTGCCAGAAGGAGGTTTCACAGTGAATACCCCATTGAGATGAATGGACCAGTTTTCACACCTCTACTAGAAACTGATCCAAAGCCCTTTGAAGTCCATAATGATGACTCTTGATATCAGTGGACTCAGGCCTCTCCAGTTGTTTGGTTGTTTGTCTGCAAGGTCAGTGAGGTTTTTCCATTACCCTGCATTGGGTCACAGACTGAAGGATTTGTTTACAGCCAGACGGGCTAGAAAATTATTATAAAATGTGTTTCAGCTGAACATAAGAGTGGCCATATTGGGTCAGACCAAAGGTCCATCTAGCCTAGTGTCCTGCCTCCCGACAATGGCCAGTGCCAGGTGCCCCACAGGGAATGATCAGAACAGGTCATCAATAAATGATCCATATCCTGTCAACCATTCCCAGCTTCTGGCAAAGAGAGGCTAGGGATACCATCCCTGCCCATCAATGGCCTATCCTCCATGAACTTATCTACCGGTAATTCTTTTTTGAACCCTCTACCTTCTGTAGAGAACACTGGGGAGACCAGGAAATACAATCACATTTTATCCCTGAAAGATGTTTTTCTCCCTGTTATTGTGAAGCACCCACAGAACAACAGGGAAACAGATTGCTGCTGTTCACAATAAAGTAACTTACTGTTCAGGGGAAATAGTGAAAGTGATAAAGGACAAAGTGTCTGCCAATGAACACAGTAAACAACTGAGCAAGCAGATATTTCATTGTGTTCTCTTGCCATCTTGGAGACCTTAGTTGTGCCTGGGAGTAGTAAGGAAAGTGGGTTTTCAGACACAAGTGTTTTTAGTGTGGAAAACCCCAACATATCTGAATCCTCTCACTTATATGCGCCTATGGCAGCCTTTATTCCTTAAAGCCATTTTGTCCCCCCTTCTGAGAGAGCCTAGGGGAGAGGGGGAAGTCGGCTGGACACTTATCGGTGTCTATTATTTGGTTAGCACCAGCAATGTGCAAAGAGCTGTATGAGGCAGGGAAGTAAAAGCTACGCCTGCCCGAAGAGCTTACAGCCCAAGGGCCCATCTTAGATCTAGTGGTGTGGAGCCCTGTCAGTGAGATTCTTCACAGGCCCCAAAACTGCACTAGAAGTCCTCCTGCAGGACTGAAGACTAAAAGCCAGGCTTGAAGAGGTTGAAATCCAGGGGTGTGGGTGGGTGATGGCGGGGCAGGGAGGCTTAAACCTTAGGGTTTAGGAATTATCTGTGGAATTGTGATTTCTGGTCGGCATCATGGAGGGAAGTGTTTATTTTGTTTCTAGGCCTTGGAGCACAGAGATGGGAAGGACATTGCACACACAGGGGCCGTGGGGATGTCACAGGGCCAATGGAGTGTGGGGAGACTGAGACCAACTCGTCATCTGGCCACCTGTCCCTGAGGCTGTGGAATCAGGAGAGACTCCGTCCTCCTCAGTGGAAAAGTTCCTGCCCAATAGCCCTCCCACAGGCCATAGCGTTTGTAATGAGGCCCTGTGAGGCTGGAGAGATCAAATATAAGTAGAGGAGAGGGCAAAGGGTTAACTCCTCGACCCCGCTACAGCTCCTAGAAAGCTGACCACTGACAGCCTCGCTGCAAAACTCTTGGCCCATTCCCAACAGCTTTCTGCTTGTGTGTTTGCATCTCAGGACCACCCCTGATCCCACTGCCCTGTCATGGCCAGGGGCCCAGCTGGGGTTCCTGGGTAAGCCCACTCCAGCCACTCTGCTCTCCAGTCACTGAGGGCAGCTGAGGGATGTCTGCAGCACAAAAGGGCCATGGAGATCTTGCCAGTTGGTTTTGGATGAAAATATTCTCATAGGGACATTTCAGTCACTGTTAAACCTCAGATATGAAATAAAACCAGCCCTGACCTGTTACTGATAGGGACTGAGTAAAATATGAATATTTTTAAGGCCCTAATATAAACAATCTGGGTAAACAAAGATGTTTGTATTTTCCTCAGCTGGAACAGTAGAAGTAGACTGGTATTTTTAAGATCAATTAGGTTTGTATGATATTGATGTGAAATTAACTTCTTGATTCTAACAATAATAGCGGGTACCTTTGATGTTTTAAAAATAACAAGACAGTTAACCTCATTCATTCAATTATGTTCACTAAAAATATTTCTATTTATGTCAAGGATTTCTGAACCAAAAATTGATGTAGGCTTTCTTTAAAAAAAAATCACACGTACAGGAAGAGTCTAACTAAAGATAAGCCTATAATGTTTTTGGTTTTGTTTTTTTTCGTGGTAACGGGTTCCCAGATGATTTAAATAGTCATTCTCCTGCAGCGTTTACAACTCAAACATTGCAGCATTTTGCTAGTGCATGAGACCCAGGGAAGGAACTGTCGACTGGGTTTTCACTGGGCAAACTGAAAGGCAAAAAGGAAACAGCATAAACAGTTAACACTGAACTAGTTTTTAATATCTGTTTAAATGCTCTGTAATTTAGCAAGACAGGTTAAGATGACTGGGTAACATTCGCTGCAGCATTGTCCATGTAACAGAAAAGTGCATGTAGGAAATACTGATAATATTGGAGTAATAAAACTGTATGGGAGCCATGCCCCAGGATTCAAATCCAGCCAGTGATGACTTGATTGCATCAGAATGGGATCTTCCAGAAAAACAATGCCTGGTCCTGTATAAAGCTCAGCTACCTTGGTCAGTTCCTCTAATGCCTCTGAAGACTTTGGTTCTGTTGCTGCATTCCTTGCCAGTGCTGTCCTTCTGCTCTGGCTGTAGGATGTCTCCTAAGAATAAGGTACAGTCATTTCCTGATTCCAAGGCCTTTGCTGGTGTTTGTCTTTCTGCAAGATTGTATATCCCACAGTGAGTTTGGTTTGGGGAAGGGAAAGGAAAGGAAGGGAAGGGGGCAGGGGGGGAGAACTGGCCTCCTTCCTGTCATGAATGGCTGAGGTGAAGCACAAATCTTCTCTTCTGTTTTTAATCAGTTTAACTTTGTTTCCTAATGGTGTGGGGTTGGGGTTGTCATAGCAACTGATTTCACTGGCATTTTAAAATCAAGCAGGGCAAATCTGACATGTCCTTTTTTAAAAGCAAATTGCAGATGAATCCTAAACTAAATCAGAATCTGCAGTGTAATTTAACACTCAAGGGACTGAGAAAACTGTTTCTTAATGCTCTGGGGGCAAAGACTGTCCTTTATTATGGAATTGTACAGCCCCTAGCACAATGGGGCCCAAATTGGTTATGGCCTTTGGTCAGTACTGCAGTAATAATGATCTGATATGGTCTTTGCTGCACATTAACATGTTTCCTTTTCAAAACCTTCTACTGCATTGCTTTCTTCATAACTGAATGGGCCCGGGGAAGCAGCCAGTTCATCTGAGCCCCCGCCGCCCCCCAAGATCTTCTGCCTGATAATGCAGAGACGGGATTAGAAGTTACAGTGCCTCTTTGTCTGGAGAGAAATCTGTGGTTAGAAAGCAGGAGTTTGAACTGTTGTAAGAGCAAGGGTTTTTGTTTGTTTGTTTTGGGGTTTTTTTGGTTAAAAAAATAGCTTTGAAAGGTCTGTTTTTTTTAAAAAAAAAAACATTCAAATAGGAACTGCATTTCCCTACACATTACTGCATTTGTTATTGCAGACAGTCAGTGACTCGGTGATTAGTGTGTTCTATAAATATTTTCGCTGTGCACTTTTAAATAGACAGTGTTGTAGTACATTTTGCACACTAATCGTATGCTGGGAATAACAGAGTATTTGAACAACATTTAAAAATGAGTTTACTCTTCTGCTATTTTCTTTTTGCTTTTCTCTCTGCTTGCCCAGCAGCTTGTTTCTCCCCTGGTTCTCATGTACTTAAAACTTTGCATTATTTGACCCTATTATTGGAATCAACAAGTGAACTTGGTGTATATGATATTGATGTGAAATTGACGTTAGCACCCTACTTCCTAAAACTGACCCCTCTAGTTTTGTTATTCGGGCTGAGTTCTGGGCAGACGTATTATTTTTACCCAGATCATTTACATCTAAATGTTTAAACTATTTAACTCAGACCACGGCTGGAGGCAGCTTATCTGGAAGTGCAAACAAGGACCGTGTACGGCTGCATCCATAGCTGACAACCATAGCTGGCGAGGCCAGGCCAAGCTTAGCTTGTACTTGGTGTATCTGGAATGCCAGGGAGCGAGCTGTAGGCAGCGGTGCTGGTGTTGAAATCATCAGCTAAGACAACCTTGCCTCATCCATATGGCCCCTGTTCAAACAAATAATGCAGGGGGAGGCTGCCCCCAGGTCCTAATCCTGAATAGTGCTTACAATGGGACTGCTCATGTGTGTCCAGTGAAGCATGAGAGTAAGTGCTTTCAGGCCTGGATTAATAGGTGCTGTGTTCCTATTGCCCACCCCACCTGTATTAGAAATCTGTGCTCAGTGAACACAGAGTGGAAGGTCTACAGCAAGGGTTCGCAAACTGGGGATCAGGACCCCTCAGGGGGATCATGAGGTTATTACATGGGGGTTCGCGAGCTGTCAGCCTCCACCCCAACTCCCACTTTGCCTTGAGCATTTATAATGGTGTTAAATATATAAAAAAGTGTTTTTAATTTATAAGGGGGGGTCACACTCAGCGGCTTGCTATGTGAAAGGGGTCATCAGTACACAAGTTTGAGAACCACTGGTCTACAGTACTTCACACAGACTGCACACTGTTCTAACACTTTACTCTGTGTGTTTCAGGTGCAAGTGCAAAGCCTCCCAGCTGAGCAGAGAACTGAGAATAAGAATCCACAGAGTAACCCATCCCCACCGGAGCAAACATCCCTTCCAGGTGTCATCTTGAAACCCACACTGGCCTCCTGGGATGCAGCTGTCTGGACGCTGGGCCAGGAGCTGCAGCAAGCGGGGAGAGAGAATCAGAGTCTTGGTGAGCATCTTGAGGACTTGACAAAGAGAGTGTCCATGATGGAATCCAGGCTGGCTGCTCTTGAGCGAACCCCACTCCCAGCTGTTGCTGGCCACCCCCCAGGCACTCTCCTGATTCCCAAGGTAGAGGAGATCCAGATACCCCTGGCAGAGATGGATGAAATGAGGGCAATGGATTGTGGGAGAACTGGAACCAATTTGCCAGCTGGACACCCTGAGGCTGTGGAATCAGGAGAGGTTCCATCTACCCCTGAGGGACAGTCCCCGCCCCATAACCCTCCTGCAGCAGCCAGCTTACCCAACAGCTCCCTCCTGCGCATCTCCCCCGAGGAGGACAGGAGACTGTTTGAGGAGGCCAAGGGCAACATTGCCAAGTATGCCCTGGCAGTGTTCAGACACATGATGCCTCGGGATTATTACCAGCAGTGGCGGGGAAAGGCCAATGTGTCCGGCACGCACCAGAAAGCTGCCCTGTCACCCAATCTGGTAAATGCAGCGTTCAAAGCGGCAAAGAGATGGAAGCCAAAGCTGGCAGGCAAAGACTATAGTAACATCAAAATCCAGATCAACAACTTCATGCGATCCCGGAAGAGCAGAAGCCTGGTTGTGTCTACAGGACAGATGTAACAGCTCCCCCCCAGTACCCGGGCTTTGGATCCTTCCTATAGAAGAGTTAAGAAAATCCTGGGAAACCTATCACCGCTGGGAATCTCTCCATGGCTCCAAGGGGAGCTGTGCCTGAGTTATGACTGCAGGATCAGGCACTCAGTGTTGTGCAGATCTCATGAGTTTGCTCTTTGGCAGGTCACAATTTTATCCCAATTACAACATGAAGGGGACAAGCAGTGCTGAGAAAAGATATTTACCACATGTTGGTGAGACCTTCACTCTGCATGGTGATGAGCACAGTATGGGTGCCTTAAATAGATTAGATAGCTGAAGGGGTTTTTGCACATTTAATGGGGTGTAAGAATGATGTTTTAAAAAAAATCTCCTAGTATTGTTACTGATGTGTGTAGAGAAATGGAATCATAGTGTGGCAACAAGCACACAAGAAATTATCCTAAGAAGAACAAGCCCTAAAGACATCAAAATTAGTCAAACGAATGTGTGCAGAGCAACTGCAGTTCAGCTCACTGTGTCACTGTCTTATTCCTGCTGGTTTGCTGCTTTATGATAAATGTCTTATCGGGGCGCTGGAACAATTTGTGTAGCGGGCTTGGTGCTGAGAGCCACTGAACTACACTGTAAACCCTGTATATAATAGAATCACCTTCAAGCCAGAGGTGGGGCAGCACCCCTAGTTCCAGTACCTAGTCATCTTATGGAAACTGTTCTTGTTTAATAAAGTTCTGTCAAACTGCTCTCCAGCATTCAGAAATGCTTTAAGATTTGTTACTTGGCATCCCTCTAGCTCCAAGGATCCTAACGTATGTGTGTACAGGGTGTTTTTTTTTTTTTTTTTTAAACCAGTATGTAATTTTAAGAAAAGTAACGGCTCACTTGTTTGGAGGAAAATAATATTTTGTCATCGGTGCATCACTGAAATGAATTCCCTTGAATTGTATGAAAGCTTGTCATTGTGGTGCATAGCTCTAATAAAATACCTTCTCCAATTTTTGTGGGAAAATTTTGGGAACCCCTGTTAATCCTGAGATGTTTAATCCCCCCCCCAACCTCCAGCCCAGAGGATGTCAATATCATCCCCATTTCACACTGCAAAAACCTTTCAAATGAATGAAAGCCCAGTGGAAAAAGTTCAGTAGCAGCCTGGATATTGCCACCAAAGCAAACAGCTGTGAAAAAATTGTTGATGAGGCTGCCCCAGCTGCTCCGAGATTTGACAGTTAACACCCCATTGAGATGAATTGGGCAGTTGACACCTCTGCTAGAAGTTGATCTAAAGCCCTCTGAAGTTCATAACAAGATTCCTTTTAACTTCAGGTTTCAGAGTAACAGCCGTGTTAGTCTGTATTCGCAAAAAGAAAAGGAGTACTTGTGGCACCTTAGAGACTAACCAATTTATTTGAGCATAAGCTCAAATAAATTATTTCTACTCTCCTACCCCATTACATTTATTTATTTTCATTCACAACTAAATTATTTATAACAATTAAAATTATAAAATATTAATAAATTTACCTTCTTAAATCCCCTAACAAAATAAAACTCTTCATCCCACACACCACACTAATTATTCAACATAACATTATAGATTTCAAAATATTTTTCAAAAACACCAACACAATTCTCTTACATCCTTTCAAAATAAACTACAACATACTTATCCCACCTCTCCCCCCCTCCCTATAATTTTTTTTTCCAAATTTTCCTTTCAACCCCTCCATCCCCTAAAAAAAAAAAAGAAACAAAAAACAAATATTGAAAAAAAAAAAACAGGAAGTTTTTATATTTTTCCATCCTGAGGGGAGGGGGGGGGGGGGGAGAGGAAGTGTTTTTTAAAGAAATTTGTGAAAACCCCCCCCCCCAAACCAAACCTCTGCGAGGGCTTCCTTACAGTTATGTTGTCTCCACTCCTGAGAGAGCCCAGGGTACAGGGGAGAGTCAGCTGGAAACTTTGCAGCATCTATTATTTGCTTAGCACCAGCAATGCGCACAGAGCAGTATGGGGCAGGGAAGTAAAAGCCAAGCTTGCCCAAAGAGCTTACAGCCCAAGGGCCTATCTTGCAACTAGATCTCGTGGTGTGGAGCCCTGTTAGTTAGATTTTCCAAATCTGCACTAGAGCTACTCCTGCAGGACTGAAGCCTAAGAGGCAGGCCTAGGTGGACTGGGAAGTCTAGACGTGGGATAGCTTTGCTGGCAGATGGGTAGGGGACTGTTTGTGCCATTCTCACTGCTGGTCAGCATCAGGGGAGAAGTGTTTTTTGTTGTTAAGAATGGCCTTGATGGCTGACGGGGCCTAGGGCCCTGGACTGGGGAGGGCTTTGAAGATGGGTGAAGGGGATGAACAGGGACTAACACTCTCCCTTTCAGGGAAGAGGTCAGAGGGAACACTTCTGGGCATGGGGCAGGGTTTCTCTACTGGTCCCTCTGCAGGAGTAGGGCCTGGAAACCTTGTGGTACCTCTGAGATCTTGACACATTTCTGCAGAGAGCCAACCCCTCAGGGGTTTTTTCCAACTTTTATCCTGTGCCACTTCTACAGCTGCCCATTGCTGGACCCCACATCATTCCCCTCCTTGGAGCAGGCCAGCAGGCTTGGAGAGGAGTGTCTGCTGCTCCTAGCAGCGTTAGCTCCAGAATAGCTTTGCACTGAGAGGCCCAATGTCTTAGGAGGGGAGAAAGCTATGGAAACTGCCTACTCCTAGCCTGCCCCCACCTGGGCTGAAAAGCCCCAACCTGTTGTGGGGATTCCCAGAGATACCAGGCAGGGGAAGGGCATGCAGGGAGGAGGTTGTGTCCCTTACCCACATCTGTGCCTCCCATCCCAACTCTGGCTCCCCTGCCATCCCATAAAGTGAGGTGAGCCCCAGGCTCTTCATCCCCAACTTCCCATTCACTGACTCAGCAAGACAGCCTGGTTCGAGCCAGGCCACAGTATCAGGGGCTGCCAATCCCTGTCAGATTGAAATACCATCCCCAGATAGTAACCTCCACTCTCAGATTCAGGCTGCTTCTCTCACTCCCTTGGGTCACCAATGGTTCGTTCACTCCCATAAGAAATAGTGGACTCTGGGGCTTGTTCCCATGTCAACTGAGTTCTCAGAATGCAAAATTCCAGGCTCAGCAAAACCACCCCCTGTTTAATGTTCCTCAAAGGAGCCCTGACAATGCAATATCCTGGTTACCAAAGCTCTTGCTCCGTATCCTTGCTCCAAGGACTTAACAAAGCTCAGACAAATGATGTCCACTGTTTGTTTATCTTCAGGGCTGAATACAGTTTGGGAATGTCCACAGAAATGGTGATTAACAAACCCTGTGGTTAATGGGACAGTCACTTTGTACAAGGATTGCAAAGCAGAGAGAACAATGGCCTTGCTGGAGGTTTTTAAATAGAGTGGCACATTGAGCAAACAAGGATGGGTTGAGGAAGCCACAAAGTGTCCAGCTAAAAACAACAGTTTGGGTCCTTACATTAGAGATGTAAGTGAAAGTGGCTTTTCCAAGCCACTCAGCCCCCAAACCCATTGTCCAAGAAAGTCAAATCCTGTCAATGGCAGTTTATCCCAGGAAGCACCTCAGAACTGAGATCAAAGGGTAAAAGCTCTAGCTTTCTACATGCTGGTTGCTTTCTGAAAGCCCTGCCCCCAAGATTCAAATCCAGCCAATGGTGACATGATCGCATCAGAATGGGAGCATAGAGTGCCTGGTCCTATATAAAGCACAACTACCTTGGTCAGTTCCTCTGTGGCCTCAGAAGGTTTGTGGCCTGTTGCTTGTCTTGCTGCTGTCCCTCCTATTCTGGTTTAGCAAGGTATGAGCAGTTTCTTTATTCCAATATCTATGCTGTAATCATCTCTCTGCAGTTTTGTTTGGGGAAGGGACTGGGGGAAACCGTCTGCCTTCGGGGTATAGATGTCTGAGGTGACCAAAGTGCAAAGGCCTCTCTTCTGTTTCTTCTTAGTTTAACTTTGTTTCCTAATGGTGGAGGTTTGGGGTTGTCATAGCAATAAATTTCACTGGCCTTTTGAAACCAAGCAGGACAAATTCAAAGTGTCCTTTGTTTAAAAATGAAAATGGCAGATGAATCCTAAACTAAATAACTTAACATAACCTAAGCAGCCACTAGAGGCACAGAGAAAAGTCTGTTTCTTATTGCCTTTGGTGCAGAGACTGTCCTTTATGAATTTATATAGCCCCTTGCACAATGCGGCCCAAACTGGTTATGGCCTTTGGGCAGTACTGCAGTATAAATGATCTTTGGTAGGTTTCACTGCATGTTAAAATGATTCCTTTTCAAAACGCTTTACTTTCTCCATAACTGAATGGTCTCAGAGACACAAGATGCGTGAGATAATATATTTTATTGGACCAGCTTCTGTTGGTGAAAGAAACAAGCTTTCAAGCTACACACAGCTCTCCTTCAGAACCAGCCCATTTATTGATTCCTCCCTGTAGCAGATTGCAGACTCACCACTGCAGTGCCTCTGGCTGGTTGCCTCAGGAATTAGCTCAATCTTCAGCCTTGGAGGGCCTCCTGCTGGCCAGGGTCTCACCTGCCTCAGGCCCCGTGTCCCTCCCAGACCCCAGTGCCCCTTACTCTGGGGTTCTGCCCCCAGCAGTCCCCACCCAGGGGAACCCCCAACCCCCTGTGTTCACCTTGCCTCAGTGGCTACTGCTAGTTGTCATCTAGCTCCCATTCATTCGGACAGACTACAGTCTGTAATGGCCACTCATCACTGGCAAGGGGGTAGGACCAGCTACCTCTACCTATTTCCAGGCTACACCCCTGCAGCCCCAGTACCTCTTTTAGGCCTTTAACAAGACCTGCAGCCTAGGGAGTTGCCAGGCTGGAGCTTCCCAGCTCCTCTTACCCTTCCCCAGCATTGCTCTGCTTCAGGTACCTTGCTCCCAGGCAGCTATCCCTTCCCACTCCAGGACTAGAGTGAGACTCCTTCAGCTCCTGGCTCCCAGCCCTCTTGTCAGGGCCAGCTGGGCCCTGATTGAGCTGGCCACACCTGTGGTCAGCTACTCCCTCAGCTGCTCTCACTCCTTTTATCCCAGCTGCAGCCTTCTTCCAGGCTGCTTTTAACCCCCTGTTCTGCTGGAGTGGGGTAGCCACCTCATTACACTCCCCAACAGGACCTTTTTCCTCATAATGTAGAGTAAGGCATCAGAAATTGCAGTGTCTCTTAGATTGCAAAGAACTGCAGGAGATATTTGCAGCTGTTATGTGGCTAACAGGACTTTCAGAGTTGTAAGATAAATTATTTTAAAACAGCTGTGAAAGTTCTGTTTTCTAATGCATTCAGTTTGGAGCTTCATTTCCTTACGTCCTACTCTACCAGACTATCTGCTTCCTATGTGATATTGTAGGCATTCTGTCAATGACTCCCTCCTATCTGTAATCAGATGTGCCTATTGGGGTATTTATAAATATTGTCTTAATGCACTTTTCTTTGGAATACACATTGTTGGAGTACACGTTATGAGTTAATCTTATGCTGTTAATTACAGAGCAGTTAAACAACTTAAAACCTAGTTTCCTTGTAGCTGTTTCCTGTATGCCTTTCTCTTAGCTTTCCCAGAAAAAAACAAGTAGTGAGTTTTCCTCCTGGTTCTCATACACCAGCTAAATGTTGCAATATTAGAGTTGTAAACACTGCAGGGGAATGATTCTTTAAATCATCATGGAATATTTTCACTTTTGGGGGGAGAGAGACATGCCTCACTCTACCCTCAATTTTTTTAGGGTTATCTTTAATTTGGCCCCACAGGTGTTTGTATTTTTTTTTAAAAAAAGAAGTCTGTATCAATTTCTGGTTAAAAATCGCTGATATAAATAGAAATATTTTCATGACATTAAGTGAATTAATGCAGTTTTTTTTTTAAATTTAAATATTCTTCTTATTTGAAACGATCATTGTTAGAATGGAGAAATTAATTGGGGCTGTATGCTATTGATGTGAAATTGACTTAAAGATACTGAAATTGACCAGCCTATGGTCACTGTCCAGATGAGCAAAAATTCAAATGTTAATTTACCCAGATAGTTTTATGACCCTAATTTAAACAATTCATAAATCTATCAGGGTTGTTTGGTTTGTTTGTTTTTTACATCTGATGTGTAATTCAGCAGTGACTGAAATGTCCCTTTGAGGAAATTATGTTCCAAAACTAAAACCCAAAGCAACCAGCGGGGATTCCCACTGGCCTTTTTGTGCTGCAGACACCCCTGAGCAGCCCTCCACGACTGGAGAGTGGGTGGAGTGCGCATACACAGGACCCCCTGCACTCCTGACCATG